GTGAGCCCATCACCTCATAGAAGCACCCAAAATCCAAACCTGAGCACCGTCCAAACACTCCTTCAGCTCCGGCAGCTCAGACTGCACCCACTGCCCTGGGCAGCCATTCCATGCCCACCGCCCTTTGGGGCACCACCTTTCCCTAGCCCCAACCTGACCCTCGCCTGACGCAGCTTCATTTAGTCCTCTGGCAAAGTCTAAGAGCTCGGCACTATGATGTTTACCACCGGACAAAACTTATTTTCTACCAGGCTGCCCAGCTCGCGCTCCAGGGGCGTCCCGGATCCGCGCAGCGCCGCTCGGTCTGCGGCAGCACCCAGCGCCCAGAGCCGGTACTGCACCGGCCGTCCGTCACCACGGGGACGGGAACCGGCACCAATCCAGGCCCCGGGGGGATGTCACCGAACCCCGAGCGATGCTGGGGTAGCCATCGGCCACAACGACGATCAAGGAGCTACCAAGCAAAGAGCATCTATCGAAACAGAGCCGCGGGACGAGCAGCGCTTTGCTGGGGCAGCTGAGCGCCACACCGCCCTGCACCGAGCTGCTTAATCCACAGCAAGAGCCGCTGGGCTGCCCGCTCCTGAAGGATGTCCCGAAAAGCACCACCGAGGGGCGCAGCGGCCCTGGGGTCTCCAGGTCGCCAGCAGGGGGAGCCCCATAGCCGGCAACGAGCGGAGTGCCGCTGGCACACTGCGGGATGCGCCCTGGGCAGCGCAGTCACCGCCGATGTTTTTGTCACATATTACCCTGCAGAGAAGGACGCAGAGCTCTTTGGGAAGAAAGGCAGAACTGTTACAGCCAGCCCTTCCCGCAACACCAGCATCTCTCCTAATTAACAGAGCAGTTTTAGACCAGAACCACATTGTGAAGCACCTACATTTCCCACCTTACCCCAAACACTGGGCACAGGGGCCAGCCCAGCTGCATCCACTAATGCTGCTCCTTAGGGCCAGCCCCAGGTTGCTCAGGGCAGCACCCCAGTCCAGCAGATCTCAGCTGTGGCCTTGTCTTTCAGACCCGGACTGAGGCTCTATCCCTGCTCCCTCCAGGGAGGGTTGACCTTCCTGAATCTCTGGCCCCCTCATGCCCTATAGGTTCAGAATATCTCAAAGATATCACTAGAGCTATAAAGCAAATACTTCTTTAAGTGACACCCACTTTTCTAAGAGCATACATCTTGCACCTATCTCCCCTATTCTCCCTTCGTGTATTGTGGTAATACACATACATCATTATAAGCCTGCTCCAGCATTTCTAGAGCAACATTATAGGACGCTAACACCAGCCACAATTAGCGCAGCTACTTCAACGAGACGCTCTTACACCACACTGCTTATTCTGGGGAGAGGAAAAACCAACAAACTCTTCCACTCCCATTCCAAAACACAACCCCCTTACCTTCTCCTTGCTCTGGAGTCCATAAAAAAAACCAACCCCAGTGTTTTCCCTGGGCCTCTATTTAACTTCACCACCAACAATGGGGTGGAGAGGTCTGCTGGCTGATTCACAGCATCTGGGAACCCTCTCATCCCAAAGCTCAGCTGCTGTCTAATCCTTAAAGGATCCAACACACACAGATACCCTTCTACTCTTTCCTGCAAATGTCAATTTTGATATCTTTTCGGTACCTTGCAATAGAGTTCTCCCACCTGTCTCCTGAGCAATCAGTTCTCTTGGCCCCACAGCTCTGCCTTCCCTCCCATATCCAGTGATAGAAACATAATGAAAAATGGGAGTTGAAGGCTGGAGCACTTGCTGAGGCAGGTGGGCTGAATGGTGAGATGGACACCTCAGGAGGATGCCGTGGCTCTTTAAGGGGGTTCCTGACCAGACAGAGCTGGGCTCCCCAGTGGTGCACGGCTGGGAGATGGGGCAGTTGCAAGGGAAAAGGTAACAAATGGAGAGAAGGCAAAAAGTCTTCACCATGGTGACAGTCAAACTCTGGGACTGGCAGCTCAGGGAGAATGCATGTTCTCTGCCTTCAGACATCTTCTAATCTGAATGGGACAAAGCCCTGAGCAATCTGCCCTGACTTCAGGAGATACTCTTCCATAGTCCCAAAGTCCCTTCCAGTCTGTCCCAATCCCCTGGGAACTGGAACAACAACCAAATGCTGAGCTCCCTGCCCAGCTGGGAACACTGCAGCAGGAACCACCACCCCACATTATCCCGCAGTAGTTCAAAAAGCCTTATCAAGAGCTGTGAATGTCAAGGGAAGAAGTAGGACAAAGGATTCCAATGAGTTGTGACAGGGACACACGGCTATGCTGGGGAGGAGGCACTGGTGCACAGCAGTTAAATGGGCCAGGAGTCAGGGCACACCATGATGTTAGCTGCATCACCAGCAGAGCAGAGCTTGTGATGGAGATGTGGAGGTGCTCCTTCCCCTTCATCAGGGTGCTCAGCTGTAAGCAGTGCTTTTTTTCAGTGAGAGCAGCCATGCAGAGATGTAATTCTTCCCTTATTTCACTGCAGAGGGTCAGGTGATGGAGCAGCCACCGTGTTGCTGGGACAGTTTTCATCCAGCCTTGGCCCTTGGTCCAAGGAACTCCCTCCCCAGGGAAAGGAAGAGCTGCAGAGTTGCTCTGTTATCTAATAGAGGAGAGATCTCAAGTGTTTCGTGACTCACTCATCTTTCAAAGCTGTCAAAAAAAAAAAAAAAAAAAAAAAAAAAAAATCCCACAACTTAAAATGTGGAGGAAGGAAATTGAAGGAAAAATACCAGCTGAATGCTTGGTTTCTGGTTCAGTATGTGCCTAAGACTGCAGCTGGACACAGCCGAGAGCTCAGCCCAGAGAGTTCCATGCACATCCCAAAGAATCTCCCCCATCCAAGTCAGAGGGCTGCCTCCCTGCCCTTGTGTTCACAGGGTTACAGCTAAGTGACCCCAATCTCCCTGTGTTGGGGGCTGGGCACAGCCATGGGGGCACTCACAACACTCCCTGTGACAGAAGGCGCTGTGAGGGCTCTCCCCACCTGGGCAAATTGCTCCAAAATGGCTGTGCCATTAGCAAGAGCTTCCTGGTATCATTGTGTTTTCATACTTCCAGATGCAATTGCATTCCATGATTGCGGTTATGAGTCGTTGGGTGATTGCTGAGATCTGCTTTGCATGTATGTAACATCATCTGCATTGCACAACACCACGGATCCCCATATGCCATGTCCTTGCCTGAGCCCATCTTCTGTAGCGCCTGCTCCTGCTTGTTAAGGGGAACAGCTGCTGGAGGAAAGAGAAACGGAAGAGACCACCAGCCAGCTCCTGGGAAGTTTACATGGCTAAGCCCCTCTGGGGCCAAGGAGAGCTCTGGTTACACTCAGTGCTTACACCACCAGCTGAGGCAAGGAGGGGCAGAGTCACCCTTCTCCAGCCTGCCACAGTGTTGCTGGGGCTGGTGGTTGGGTCTGGAGGGGTACAGAGGTGGTTTTATTTGCTGTTTGCGCTGAAAGGGTAAAATGCAGGCTGATTATTAAACAGGGAAGTCTCGCTGCTTCTGTTCTCTTGTGATCTGTCCTCGTTATTTCAGCCTCCAGATTAAAAAGGATTAGGCATGGGGATATACCATGAGGCTGTTGGAGTCACCAAGAGACATCTCAGGCACAGAAATGTCCGATATCCCCCCCTCATTAATATTTCTCTTTCCATCTGAAGAACTGTACTGAGATACAGCACTATTCCGTAGCCACAAGTTGGCTCACAGGGTCATTCCAATTGAAAAGGGGATGCAGGGCTCATCCTAATTCAGACTGTAGAGAGGATGATAAAGGTCCTCCCGCAACTCACCGGGGTCCTTGGTGATCAGTTGTCCTCAGGCAGGAGGTGCTTTTACCTCCCCTCAATCTTATCGTGTTCTGGCCGCCTGGCTGTTATGTTTACTAAAGAAACATCTGAATTTGGAACAAAGCAAATTGCAACTCTCCTTGGCTACAAAATATAATGTCCCAATTCACTTCAAAGCCTGCAGTGTGGCACCACAGGCAAGCACTTAGCTCTGTCCAAACACCATCCAGGAGCTGAGATGCTCAGTGTAAAGGTGTTTGCAAAATGAGTTGGCTGACCTCATGATAAAATCTAAAGCTCCCTTTGAAACTTAAGTGTTTAACATTAAGTGAGTAGAGTCCCATTGATGTGCTGCCAACGTTTTAACGAGGGGATGCCACAAGCATTTCCCTGTGTATGTTTTGTACAGCGAATGGGGAGAGACTGTAGACTTAATTTTCTCTGGTTGGCACAAAGAAGGATTTTCCAGCCAGCATCGAGGAGAGAGAGAGCAGCAGTGTGAAAACTAAAGAAAGAAATCAAGTTTGTGTGCAGCTGCAAACGAATGCTGGTGAGTTTACAGTCTTTGAGGCAAAGTGCTCTTTTAGGACAAACAAGTAAAGTGAAGTCCTTGTGTTTCTGCCTAAAGCCAGCCTCCCCTGCCACCTTCCTGGTGCAGGCTTAAATGCAGCAACACTCCTCAGCCTCATCCTGTCTGCTTCTGGCTTCCCAAGCAGATGAGGCATCCACAGCCACACCACTCGTAGCTCTCTGCCACCTTCATGCTCACACCTCAGTGAGGGGGACACATCTGGGTGGCCACTGAGAGGCAAAGTTGCATGCTGTCACCCACCCCTGGGACAGTCGAGCAAGGCGGCCATTTGTCTGTAGGATGGGATGGAATGGCATGGCATAGCATGGAAGAGCTGTGGCAGTGGCAGGGAGGGCAGAGCTGTGGGAATCATTGCTCCTGCTCAGGCAGCATGGTGCCTCCTGATAGGAATTCTATGATTCCATGACTCTAAGATGATGATATAACAGCACAATGCAGTAAACATTTCAGTTGCTAGCACAGCTGCATGAAAAGCTTATCTGGGTGTTACGGAAAAAGGAATCCAGCCAAAAAGGTGTGCTGAGTTTTATTTTATTGAGCAGAATGGCAGCGACAAGGACAGCTGCTGCTGTGCCCAGGCTCCTGCGTCTGTGGCGGACGAGGATCGGTGCTTGGTGCTCAGACTCAGCACTTCCCCATGTGCTTCAATCGTATCTTCCCTCCACTCCTCCTGTAAAAGGAGCAGCATGGAAACAAAGCAGTGTATAGCATCCAGCACAGACACAGCTGGGACAGGGAGCTTGTCCGTCTGAACAAGATCATTTGCCCGACTCTGGTGCCTCACAGGGAGCATCAAGCCATCTTTCCCTCTTCTCTAATTTCCCTTAGGATAAGGCAGCCTTCAGAGTGCAGACTGATAAGGATAAATCAATTTTTGCAGGTCTTCAGTCCAGAGGTGTTTGCTCCTATTACAGCTCCTTTAGAGGAGACAGGAGAGGAGAAACTCCAGTCCTTCCTCTGAGATTCTGTGTACTTTTCCACTAAGTCCATTTAGACTTTCATTTCAGCACTTGCCCTGTTCATTGTAGGGGTGTTGGACCAGCTGACCTTTAAACGTCCCTTTCGACTCAAACAAATCTATGATTCTATGAGTCTAGGACTTTCCTCCAATAATTTGGCATGCATAATCCTACATTCCTCCAGACATTTCAGAATCCAGAGGTGTGGACAGGGAGAGCTTCAGCCTACGGCATACAGAGGAAAATGAGCATCAATTTAGCCCATGCAGAAGGTCTAGGCAGGTTCAATGGCCTCCCAGGCCCTGCACCATCTCTCTAAGGCTATGAGCATCATAGAAAGCCTAGAAATGAATCAATATTAAGCTGAAATATAACCAAGCATACTGGTGAGGAGCTGACATTTGAACTAGATGAACTTAGTGGTCTTTTCCAACCTTAGCCATTCTCTAGCTCTATGATTCTATGGCCAGGGATTGCTCTGTGTGAGGGGAGCAGCAGTGTGGGGCTGGAAGTGGACCATCCCTGTGTGGGTCCGTATCCCACCACCCCCACTTACAGCACAGCCTTGCAGAAGGCACACTTGTTGCCGTACGTCACGCCATCGGTGCCACAATGAGGGTTGGACTCCCTTGTGCAGAACACACTCCTGTTTAAGAACTCTTTGCAGATCTGCAAAAGAAATCAAAAGTAACAACCACAATAAACCACTGGGTTTCACTTTCCAAGCAGGAAACAAGATCGCTAGTGTGATCTTCTTCCAGCCCAGAGGCCCAAAGCAGCAGTGAGGCATAGCCTGCTTACTGAAAAACGAAGTCCTGTCACAACTGGCCGAAACAGGGGAAATCCTGCCCTGTGGCTGAGGAGGGAAGCTGTCACCATCTGGGGGCAGCCCTGGTGTCCCAAGGACATGAGTTGGTTCACCTGTGCACACAGGGAGAGCATCAGCACTGATGCAGCCCCACATCAGTGCCCGACACCACGCAGCTCACACCACTGCATGGCCTGCAGCTGCCATACACAGGAGTCTGGGCATGAGTTGGTTGGACTCGATGACCTTAGTGGTCTTTCCAACCTTAATGATTCTATGAAGTGAGCAGGCATTTGGACAAGCCCCAGTTACGGATTTAGTTTAAAGGAGTATATCACTCCTGATTTCACATTCGTTGCATGGAGGAGCGAACAGACAAAAGCATTACTGCAAGCCAGCCCTGCGCTGGATCAAACCGTGGGGAGCACGTACTAAACCAGCTAAATCATCCCCTGACTTGTTTGCTACTGTGGCCATAGCTAACATCTCTGTGCTGTGTGAGCACTCCCAAGCACTGAGGCACCTTGGCAGGACCCACTTCTCCCAGCAAAACCCAAAGCAGTTCAGCATGCACCGAGATCTGTGAGAAAAGCAGTCTTCTAGAGCCAGGAGAAAATGCAGATTCAGAAAACAGAAAGAGCTGCACTAACCTCTTCAATGTCTTGAGCTGCTACACCTAGAATTGAAACAAACAAACGAAGGTTTTATACACATTAGCATTATTTTCTGAGAGAACTGAACCCAAGTCACAAACCCCTTTACAAACTGCAGCACAAAACACACCAGGTTTTCCCTCCTCTGCCATTCTGTGAGGTGGAGGAGGGGTAGGAAATACATTATCGGAATTGCTTTTCAGTATTTTGCTATTTGAAAAATGTTACTAAAATACCATGTAATCAGTCATTCAGCTGCTAACTGCACCGCAGACACATAAACCCATCTCCCTGGCAGGCAGCCACCACCAGGGATGCAGGGAGCTATGTCAGAGCTGAGCCTCTCTCAGCAGAGATTTTAAAGCTTCATTGAGTCTTATGGCTTTTAGGCTCTTGCACCTCTGAATTACAAAACTGGCCAGAACGGTAACAAAAGCACACAGGGGAGATGGAGGAGGAGACCCTGCAGTCAGCATCAGAGCCATCTGCAGCACGGCACAGCCCTGAGGCTTCTGGAACAGCCTGATCCGGATGAGATACAAAGGGATAGCCTGGCGTGATCTGGGGCAGAACAGGCAGTGCCAGACAGTGACAGAGCAAAAATACCTGCTGCAGACACAGGCTCTGGGCTTGGAGACAGTCAGTCCATCCTCTTTGATATTTCCAGCCTGCAATCTTTGCGTGGGGCCAGGTCACAGCCATGGGATGGATCCTATGGTGTCTGACAGAGAGTGGGCTGCACGCAGTTCTGCAGGAGCTGGAGCACATTGCAGTGGGACACCCCTCGTGGTTAGGGTGCAAGTTGGGAGCACTGTAGCATCACACTCAGCGGGACCAGTATCCATGACCCCACTCAGCTTCTGCCTGCTGTGATGCCTTTCAGTGTTTGATCCTTGCCATTTGTGTATCTGTCACATCCTCAGCTAGGCTGAAGGGGGAAGCAGCCATTAGGGCTATTTGCATATTGTTTACAAAATAGCTCATTAGATAATTTTTATAAATATTACATGCATCTACACAAGACTTTGTGAGAACGTCTCTTGGTATCTGTTAATTTTATTTGAGATCACAGAGTTTGCTGCTATTCTGCCTGGTGTTGGAAAGAAGCTTTAGCACTGTGATGGAACCCAGTCCCAATTAAGACTCAATTAAAGACAGATGAATATTTCATAATTAATGATGTGTACAAAGTAATTCACCTCTTTTCTCCATGCACAGCCTGCAATTTTCTCAAGTGAATTCTTTATTCAAATTATTCACAGAAAAACAAGTATAAATAATTCTTGATCTGCAGTCTTCAATAATGGCCACCACAACGCTTCCACGTTCGGATCAGCTGGACACGAACAGCCCATGTGCCCTACACATCCTAGACCATCAGCCAGCCTTCCCAGACCAACAGAGAGATGTGTAAACCTCAAGACAAATAAACGCTGGATCCTTTCAATTTGCCCTCTTTGTTCTGGTTCCTTGAGGACATTTGAATTTAATTTTTAAGCTTTCCTCTGCAATGTATTTGGAAGCTGAAGCTTTCATCTAATTATGCTGCCACATCTCTGAGGAAAACACCAACTACCAAATGCTTAGAATCAAAACAGGAGCTGATGACCCTGAGGTATGAGTTTCTTCTCTAACTGGTTCAGCAAAACTCTGCAGCAAACATTTCCACCAAAACTCATGATTACACTCTGCTTTGGTGCATTTGCTGAACGAGCTGCTTACAATTTGCTCATTCTGTCTCCCAGTGACACCTCCACAGTGTTATTCACTGCGGAGGCACACGAGGAATGGAAATACGTGACGCGAGCAAGCAAGTCCCACAGATATTTTCTACTTGCTCAGCTTTCTCTTCAAGCCCGTCATCCAGTGATCAAGGCTCCCCGAAGTTGCTCTTGTCATAAAGTTTCTTTCTAGGCTACAGAAATATAACTTACCCGAGAAGAACGACAGCAGCAGCAGCAGGCTGAGGAGCACCGAGGTGCCTGTTGCCTTCATGCTGCTCTTTTAGTCCCCAGCAATCGACCAGTTTGGGAGGTGTTGTCACAGCCACAAGCCCACAGCGTGCTCGTAGCCCTGCCTCTGTGTATTTATGTACCTATCTGCTGCTGCCCTCATTCCTCACCTTAATTGTGAGAACTTCTCCACTTCGTTTCTAGAGCCATTATTGGTCCTGGCCGTGTTTATGGTGCTTTAGGAATGCCGCCCTGTCCACATCAAACTTAGAAAGGGCTAATTACATGAGTGATAAACTTGGGCCTGTAATATCTTTGTGTTGGGTTTTTTTTTTTTTTTTTTTTTTTTTTCTCTGAATAGTCACAGGATTCTCACAAGGGTGAATTTTCAAAGTGGTGATTCATCGGGGAAGCTGGTAATTTTCATTCTCTGGGTCCTCGCTGAATGCCAGCTCCAAGGCTTTGAGCACAGCGTGATGACACTCACCAGACATTACGAAATAAATCACAGCATGAGAATGTGTTGTCTGTGAAACCAATTATGCGTTGTTCTCTGGCTATTTTTGAGGATGGTTTTAAATTTGTTGGGTTGGGGTGGAGAAGCACACCGGGGCTCTCATAGCCGTGTGCAGTCCCACATAGGACAGCCACCTCTCCTCCCTGAACTATTTAAACTATAGCTGTCAATGTTTTCCAGTTTTACATTCACAAACATATGCTAGGGCTCTATTTCCACAGCAAGCAGCAATTACAGGAATTTGGTGGGGAATCAGGAGACTCACTCTATTTCCAGCTGATTCTGTGTAAAGAGTATAGAATCACAGGATCGTTGAAGTTGGAAAAGACCACTAAGATCAGCCAACCATCAGCCCATCTCCAACCATCTCTCCACCAAGCGTAGCATTTAGTTGCACCACTTGCTAAATATCTCTTCAGATAGGCACAGCCTTCAAAATTTCTGCAAGAAATTTTGTTAAGAAACAAGTGTTATGGGAGCACTCTTTATAGACAGATCTTCATATTCACTTCCCCAGCAAATTTTGTAACTGCAACCTACTGTATGTAGCCTGCTTCAGCAAGGGGTTGAACTCGATAATTTTCAGAGTTTCTCTTTCAACCTCTACGATTCTGCTATTCCAACAAAATTTCACACAAGAATGGAAAACAAACAAACAAAAAATGCACTTCAATATATTTTTCTAGCAAACAAGGATTTCCCAAACATCCTCAACTAGCAAGTGAGAGTTTCTGTAGGAGAGCAGTGCCATGACCGCCCTACACCTGGGAAAGCATTAGAGTTTGCAGCTCACTAGACACCATAAAACCCACATAACAGAGGAACCGCAACTGACAGGTGAGTTCTCAGATGTCTATTAGGGTGAGCTCACAACACAGCTTCTCATATAATTTACAAGCCCGTCAGCCGCAGTGCCATTCAAAATCATGCTTAGTTCTGCCACTCGCAGAATTCTGTGTTTGCCTTTTCTAGCCCCAGACTCTGCTCGCTGCCCCAGCACTAATACCTCAGCTCTACAGCTATCCAAACGTTTCATTTGCTACAGCATAGCTGACTGGGAAAAGCCTTAGAAAACGTACCAAAGGGACCAGTGCTTTGCGGGCTGGGAGGAAGAGACTAAATTAGCAAAGTGGTGATTATCTTTATCACTCCTCTTTGCACTTCTTATAACCTATGAAGCGGGCTGCTTGCTGCCATAGGTTGTGAAGTTCAGCCTCTCTGATTTCTCAGAAAATTGGGAATGGAACGGGACCAGACAAGACAAAGGCACCTGGGATTTGCCTTACAGAGGAATGGCTGGGCAGAGCTTCACTCTTACCTAGCCAAGTATTTACCTGCACTGGGCCAACCTCTGGACTTACTTGATAAAACCTTTTCCATTTTCTGAAGAGTTTTTGTCTGTACAGCCACATGCTCTACGCTTGCCTTTTGCCCTCCCTTTCCCTGTAAGACATCAGCCCTTCTTTGAACTTTTCCAAAGCCTTTTTTTGCTCCTGAGCAGGTACCAGGCTTGCTCCAGCACACTGTGGAAGAGGCCTACCATGGGATCTTATTGTTGAAGGCACCCTCCTGCTCTGACCAAAACTCTGTGACAATTCAACAAACCTCCTGGCCAACGAGACATTACAGCTGAGCTGTGTCCTTCACTAAAGGTCTCTGCTCACTTTCAGTAGTGGCTTACGCTATTTCTTGGGTTTTTTTTTCCTTTCTAGGCAGATTAGCAGGGAGAACACTCATGGCTCTCCAGCTTACCTTTTCTCACCAGCAGGCATAGAGCACACTGTGGTTTGCACTACCTGTAGTAATAGAATAAACATTTCAAAGTTCCATCCACCTTCCTAGGATGGAGCACTGCCCTGACACACTATTAAAGGACAGCTTCTCATCTTCTGGTGGGAAGCACCCATAAGATTTCTAGGTCAAGACACAGTTTATTTCAGGCAATAAAGCCAGAGAAAAACTTGGAAGTCACAGATTTTGTCCTCATTATCAGCCTGAACAGCTGAATGTCTTCCTACGTAATGAGAGAATGGGAGGTGGAGAAAAGAAGGAGAAGGTGACATGAGTGGAGGCACTTGGGACTTTTCGCCTGTCGTTTGCATACTCATTCCTTGACTCACCCGAAGAGATAGCGCATCACTGTGCGTGCTCACATGCATCACCCATACATCACCTTTCATTGCAGATAGAAACTACCTTGGATCTTCCAAGCTCACCTTCCGTCCTTTCTTTCCTAGGCCTGAAGAATCCCAAACCTTTTCCTGAAGAGTCCTTTCTCTTTCCTCTGCCTCAAACACTCTTAGTACAGCTTTTCAGATATCTTTTCCAAGAAACCTGAGCCCAATGTAGTTTCTCCTCTGGTCCTCATTAGGCTCATTACAGCCTTGCCCAGCTGGTTGCAATTTTCTGCTGATCACCACACTCTCAAGGGACACACCCTTCAAGGAAGCAACAGTTCCTAATTTTCTTCCTTATGAGATATAGCCTCCTCCCTTTGCCATAAGCCTTCTTATAACATGCTGCCAGACTTGCCCATTGCCCAGGTGTATCAAAGCCATGTTTCCTCCATGCCAAGGCTCCCAAAAGGACTGCTTCCTCCAAGGCTCCATGCTTCTACAAAGCCCCATCCTGACCCTTACAACAAATCCATTTATGTGCTGTAAGACACATAAATTGGGGAGAGCAGCAGTATTTTATAGCAATGTGTTTCCTCTTCTGTTGGTTTGGAGTGGGGTGACGCACTTTTGTGAGGGCTTAGGCTTTTGTGTGATGGGTGTTGCACTTTGGTCTTTAATGTGGTTTATTTCAAAACTTCTCCTGCCTGACAGATAAGTGCCTAAAAGCCTAAAGACTTTTACCTCTGCCCTGGAAAAAATAATAAAAACAATAAATAAAAAAAACCACACCAGTTCACAGCAGTGAGAGTTGCTGGCTTTGATTTACTGATGGGTCAATTCAGAAAGCAGCGTACAACAGGGAGCAGGGAAGAACATGTTGGAATTGCAGGCTTTGGAAGTGAAAGATGAATGAGGGTAAAGGTTGTGCTCCAGCACTCAGCATTCTCCATGATGCTGGAGAGACAGAGATCCATGACTCCTCCTGCAGACAAAGGAGGAAGCCAAAATCAGTGACATGGAAGGTGGTTTTATAGCCCTGATGGTGACACTGCTGACTTTACATGGACAAGGCAATGCCCCGTGCAGTTCCAGTTACACCTTCACCTCTCTCCTGATTCCCCAGGTTACACGTTCTGTCATGTTAAAGAGATCTGGGACAAACCCTGTAATTTTGGATATTTCCTATAGTTAGCATTCAAATTGCTGTCACAAGGAGTGCTATGAGCCTGCAAATGAGAATCTGAATTTAGTGATGAAGGGAGGATAAGGCTCACCTGTGTTTAAGATCTGCAGTGTTTGGGGAGGGCACAGCAGAGGGAGTGCTGGGGTCAGGTTGGGGATGAGGACAGATTTACCATGGGGATAACGGGAGCACAAGGGCTCCCTGGCAGCTTCTGCCTTTGTACTGCAGCACAGCAGTGGTTTCATGGCTGCATGGGGAGCACTGTACTTACAAAACTGCAATGCAGAAGTGGCATTTGTTCCCATATGTTATGCCGTCAGAGCCGCAAAGGGGCATGTACTCTTCAGTGCAATAGAGATTGGTGCTCTTGAATTCACTGCAGTCAATCTGTAGGTAATGGAGCAAGAACATATTGAGAAGCCTTTGTTTGCTGTGTTTTGCTACATGAGTGCTTTACGTTTATGTCATGGCAAAGCAAAAAAACATTTTTTCAGTGCAGGCCCCTGTTATTCTAGCAATTCCTCAAATCCTAATGCGCTTGCCCAGCAGAGCACAAAGTGAGAAGTCAGAGGGAAAGATTACCTAAATCTACTCTCAGAAGCAGTGACACAGCCAAAGCAGTGCTCCCCAGCTGGCTGCCCACTGCCTGCTCTGCTCTGGTTCAGCAGCCAGCAGAGCGGCTGCCAAGAAGCAGTGTGTCTCAAACGGCACGGTATGAAGTCTTCCCACCCAGTAATGACAGCTGATGCTGTATGAGCCCCACACTCACCAGGAGAAGCAAGCACAGACACCATCTGAACTATGCTGTCAACGTCAACCCCTATCAGGAGCTGTCCAGGTGAGGCTGATGCTGGAGCCAGGGGTTTTGTTCAGTGTCCCCTGAGCCTGGCATACTTGAGCTATTTTCATCAAATCCTTCTTCCAGGACAAATACACCAGCACAGTGCAGACATTGCTATTACATAGTTCTGACTCATTGAATTTGTGTTGTATAATGTACTTTAACAACAGTTCATAGTGCAGACTTTCAAGCTTTACCTCAGGGTGTTTTCCAGCAGTGAGCAGATCTATGTCCTCTCCATTCCTTGGGGAAGAAAGCAAGTTGAGAACTAACCAGCACAGCACAGCCACTCCAGAAGCCTCAGTACTCCCCAGACACCAAAGCCCAGATCCCAGCACTCACGCCACTGCTGAGCAGAAGGTGCACTTGTTGCTGTAGGTGACCC